TATCTCTGAAGAATCCATGTAAACATCTGATACAGAACTGATCAATCCAAAGATGTCTTAGTAGTCTATGGTTTACCCTGATCTCAGACTTGTCCTGAGGTATGAAGTTAAGCCAATCCCCTCCCCCCACTTAGAATCTGAATAGAAACCCAGAAGGAAGTTAGACATTAGTGATGGGAAACAACACTGAAAAAGAAATACCATATAATCAGGGACAAGTGGAAATTTTAATTATGTACAGTGAAAAGGTCAAACTACAGAAAAAAAATTCATTCCTGAAATAGTGGTTGAATTTCTGAGAATATACCCTGGGGCCCAAAACCACACAGCAGAAACACCATCTGCACTCCTATGTTCATTGCAGCACTATTCACAGTGGCCAGAATTTGGAAAAAACCTAAGCGCCAAGAAAAGGCAAATGGATAAAGAAACTGGCACATCTACACATGGAATATGATACAGCTGTTAGGAAAAATGAAGTCATGAAATATGCCTACAATGGATGGACTTGGAGAGTATCTGTGATGAGTGTGTCAGAAGGAGAGGGATAGATATAGAATGATTACATTCATCTGTGGTATATTAAAAATACATGTATATATATATATATATATACATGAAGACAAATATCCATGACCAAGGATGATATATCATTGGTTGTAATCTACCACAAGTGTGAGTGGGGTGGAAGGTAGGTAAGATAGAGAAGGGCCAGTATGACAATAATAGTTGGAAATTATCACACTGACCCAAAAATTATGAGGCAGAGGGAGAGGGAGATGAGAGAGATGGGAGAGAGAGAGAGAGAGAGTGTGTGTGTGAGAGAGTGAGAGAGAGAGGGAGAGAGAGAGAGAGACAGAGAGAGAGACTGCTATAGAGGCAGGTGAGGGTAGGGGTGGTGATGGAAAGAGAAACTGGGGACACTGGTGCTAGAAAATGTACACTGGTGGAGGAATGGGCATTGGAACTCTGTATGAATGAAGCCTAATCATGAACAGCTTTGTAAGGGTCTATCTCACAGTGATTCAATAGCACTGCATTGTAGCATCGTCCTCCCATTGTTGATCGATTTGCTCGAGCGGTCACCAGTAACATCTCACAACAAATTGTGAGACTTGCTGTTACTGTTTTTGGTATATCGAATACATCACAGGTAGCTTGCTAGGCTTTGCAGTGCAGGTGAGAGACTCTCAGTAGCTTGCCAGGCTCTCTGAGAGGGGCAGAGGAATTAAACCTGGGTCGACCACGTGCAAGGCAAATGCCCTATCCACTGTGCTATTGCCCCAGCCCAGTGATTCAATAAAAAAAAATGCAAGAGACAGATAAGTAGATCAACATGGAAAGTATCATGTTAGGGGAAATGAGTCAGAAAGAGAGGTACAGGCATAGAAAGATTGCACTCATCTGTGGAATATAAAGTAACAGAATGGGAGACTGACACCCAAGAGTAGTATACATAAAGACCAGGAGATCTGCTCCACATCTTGGAAATAGGCATCACATGCTGGAGGAAAAGGCAGCTCAGATAGAGAAGGGAACACCAAGTAAAGGATGTTGGGAGGATCCACTCCACTCAGATTGAAAGATGCACACAATGGCCACTCAATACCTCTATTGCAAACCACAACAACCAAAAGGAGAGAGAACAAAAGGGAATTCCCTGCAGCTGAGGCTGGGTGGGGAGGTGGGGGATGGGGAGGGGGTGATGGGAGGGAAGCTGGGAACATTGGTAGGGGAGAATGGGCACTGGTGGAGGGATGGGTAAATGATCATTGTGTGACTTTAATGCAAACACGAAAGTTCGTAAGTTTGTAACTGTACCCCACGGTGATTCACTAATAAAAAAAATAAATTAAAAAAATTGCAAGAAGCACTCTTTATAATAGCCAGAATCTGGAAAAAACCTGAGTGCCCACAACAGATGACTGGTTAAAGAAACTTTGGTACATTTACACAATGGAGTACTATGTAGCTGTTAGAAAAGATGAAGTCATGAAATTTACACACAAGTGTACTACATGGAAAGTATCGTGTTAAACGAAATGAGTCAGAAAGAGAGGGATAGACATAGAAAGACTGCATTCATCTGGGGAACATAAAGTAACAAAATAGGAGACTAACACTCAAGAATGGCCGAGATTAGTACCAGGAATTTTGCTCCATGGCTTGGAGGCCAGCCACACATGCTAGGGGAAAAGGGAGCTCAGATAGAGAAGAGAGCACCAAATAAAGGGTATTGGGAGGATCCTCCCAGGATGGGAGAAGCATGCTGAAACTAGACTATAGACCAAACATTATTGCCACTCATTGCCTCTTTTGCAAACCACAACACCCAAAAGGAGAGAACAAAAGGGAATGCCCTGCCACAGAGGCAGGATAGGATGGGGGGATGGGGGGTGGAAGGGATACTGGGATCCATGGTGGTGGATACTGGTGGAGGGATGGGTATTTGATCATTGTATAATTGAAACCCAAGCACGAAAATTTGTAAGCCTACAACTGTACCTCATGGTGTCTCACTAATAAAAATAAAAATAAATAAAATGCAAGAGTGGTCTCACTCAGGCTTTCTATAGCAATTCTCAGACGGTCTCTTCGGTCTTTATATATCTTTTGTAAGATTGAAAAAGTAGTTACATAACCTCATATACATAAGTGCATCTTTGTTCTTTGCAAAACAGAAGTCCCCAATACCGTAACTATCTCCAGTGGACACAGATGTGACACCATTTTAAGAATAAGCATAAAAAGGGCTGGAGTGATTGGACAGCTAGCTGGGAGGGCGTTTGCCTTGCAAGCAGCCATCCCAGGTTCTATCCCCAACATCCCATCTGGTCCTCCCAAACACTGCCAGACGTAATTTCTGAACACAGAGCCAGGAGTAATCAGGTATGACCTCGCCCCAAAAAAAGATTAAGTATGAACAATTTTAAGGCTTGTAATTGACCAAATTATTTTTCCAAAACATGTCTGTTTATTCTGAAATAGTAATGAGTCATTTACAAAGTAATCTCACTGAAAATAGCTGTTAAATTTTGTGAAGTGGTTATTTTATTGCTTTAATCTATTGATGTTCCTTGTCATTTAAAAACTTGATAACTTGTTCTCTGATCAGTTCGTATGTGAGATGAAAGCTTAATTTTATTTTCAATAGTTATTTTTCAGGTTTTCTGTTATGCTGAAAACACTGGTTTTTTGTTGTTGTTGTTGAGTGTTGGGTTGAAAACTTGAGGAGACTGAATTAGCTATTTTTCAAGGCTATACATTTCTAATTCTTTACAATGATAATCCTTTCTTTGGTTTCACAATCCCTTAGTCATGTTTCTTGGGAAGAAAAATCTAAACATATTTGCATATCAATAACTAAGTTTTATTCTTCCTAATTTTATTCCATTTTTATAATGCACAAATTCTCCTGATATCACTAGCATAAAAGGTTCACTTTTTATACACAGCTCTTAAGTTCAACTCTGATTCTAGCAGTTATGTTTGTTGAAACTATTGAGATTAAATCAAACTCATCTCTAATTCTAAACTATCAGAGAATTTTTAGTTACTTGCTTTCACTCCTATAAGCTTTTGTTCACATACATCACATACTATCTAGAAAAGCTAAATCCAGCTGGTGCTTGCCTTCTGTGCAACTGAGCAGGTTTGACTCCCAACACCCCGTACTGTCCCCCAACCACTTGTAGGAATAATCCCTAAGCACAGAGACAAGAGTAAGCCCTGAACATCAAGGTGTGGCCACAAAGAAAACAAAAATAACTTGGGGGCCGGATGATAGTATAATGGGTAGGGCATTTGCTGTGCATGTGGTCAACCCTGGCTGGATCCCTGGCATCCTAATATGGTCCTCTGAACACAGCCAGGAGTAATTCCTGAGTATAGAACCAGAAGTAAGCCCTGAGCATCACCGAATGTGACCCACCCTCCAAAAAAAAGAAAAACTAGATTTTTAAGTCTTGTTGGTATCTAATCTGCGAACATACGTGGAAAATGGGATAGGCAAAAATTCCCTGTATTCATCCAAGTGTGCGACCTCTTCAACAAAAGGAGGTTTCTAAGTTTTCTAGCTGACAGATAAGAAGAGCTCTAAGATATCTCTGAAAGAGGCTCACACAATGGTTTCCTATCTTTTGTCATAAGCAATTTAATTCTATTGGCCCAACAGTTAATTCCTTTAATTGAACAACAGATTGTCTACTGTGGTAGTCAATTGTTCTCATTTTTCCCCTTTTGGCTTCCTAGGATCTTTACAGGGGATTAAAGAGGCATTGCATAAATAGCTAGTCATTCTCAGTTCCAAGTAAAATTTGAATTCAGTGAAAATACAGAAGTTGAATACAGAATACCGAAGATTTCATGCACATGAAAATTACCCCAAAAAGACTAAAAATACGAAGAAATCTCTTATAATGAATATATATATATATATTATTTATAGTAGCACTGTACTCCTGCTGTTCATTGATTTGCTCGAGTGGGCACCAGTAACGTCTCACAACTTATGAGACTTGTTGTTACTGTTTTTGGCATATCAAATACATTACGGGGAGCTTGCCAGGCTTTGCCGTGTGGGCGAGATACTCTCGGTAGCTTGCTGGGCTCTCAGAAAGAGGCAGAGGAATCAAACCTGGGTCGGCCTCATGCAAGGCAAACGCTCTACCCACTGTACTATCGCTCCAGCCCATTTTCTTAAAAATAATAAAATACTGTATACCATAATGTTCTTAAAAATAGTAAAATAGTGTCATCTTCTTAGTGAGATTTTTTTTATTTATAGTAGAAACAGAAAATACACTATATAATTTTAAATATATAGGAATACTCATAAGTCTCCTCTGGAAATAACTAATTCTTAGTGAAAATCAAGGAAAGTTACACACGTTTCTTGGCTTTACTTGATTTATAAATTTTCCTTCCAGAAGCATATTATTGGGTTTAAGATTAAGCTTTGATAAAAGCTTATTAAACAAACTGAAATAAAAGGCTTATTTTCAGAAATTATTGTGAAATTGTGAATACTGATCAAATCCTTTATAATACTCATGGCATTTACGAGGTTTCTCTCCTGAATGGACTCTCTGATGAATCCGAAGAGCTGAACTATGACTGAAACCTCTACTACAGACTGCACATTGATACGGCTTCTCTCCTGTGTGGACCCTCTGGTGAATGTGAAGATTAGAGCTGTGGCTAAAGTCTTTTCCACAGTTATCACACTTATAGGGTTTTTCTCCTGTATGAACTCTCTGATGAATGAGAAGATGTGAACGTTGACTGAATCCCTTACCACACTGCTCACATTTATAGGGTTTCTCTCCAGTATGCACTCTTTGGTGAGTAAGCAGCTTTGAACTCTTGCTGAAGCCTTTCCCACATTCATGGCAAGTGTAGGGTTTCTCGCCTGTATGAACCCTCTGATGAATACGAAGATCTGAGCTATGACTGAAGTCCTTCCCACAGTTGTCACATTTGTAAGGCTTTTCTCCTGTATGCACTCTCTGATGAATCTGAAGATTGGAGCGCTGGGTAAAGCCCTTGCCACAGTTATCACATTTATAAGACTTTTCTCCTGTATGGACTAACTGATGGATTCGAAGATTTGAGCTCTGACTGAAGCCCTTCCCACACTCATCACACTTAAATGGCTTCTCTCCTGTGTGAACTCTCTGATGAACATGAAGCACTGAACTCCGACTAAAACTCTTACCACATTCATTGCATTTAAAAGGTTTTTCTTCTGTATGAAGTTTCTGGTGAATGTTAAGTAATGGATTTCTACTGAGGTCCTTACCACACTCAAATTTATAGATTTTCTCTTCTGTGTGAACTCTTTGATGATTGTGGAGATTAGAGATCTGACCGAAGCTCTCACCACACACTTGACAGATAAAAGGTACATCCCCCATATGGGCTCTATGTCGAAAGTGAACACCTAAACTCTGACTAAAGTTACTGCAGACCTCTTCACATCCATAAAGTCTTTTGCCTACATGGGCTCGTGGATGTTTATATGTGTCTGATCTCTGAGAGAAGCACCTTGTGCTGACGGAACACTGATAAAACTTTTCTCCAAGTTTATTTTTTTTGTGGAGAAGACACTGTGAGTTCCAATAATATATTTCTTTACATTTATTACAGGCACAATATTTCCTTCCCATAGAGTCTTTCAGTAGGTCATTTGGGCATATATGTCCAATATAGTTTGGAAGGGCCTCCTCCATTGGGATATAAGAATGGTTAACTATGAGCTTCTGTTTTTTTTCCATGGTTAAATTTTCCCATGATATCCCAACATGACATCTACTTCCTTGAAAACCATGTGAATTATTCACGTACATTTCTCTATCATAGTCTTGAGAGGGTTTTAATTCTAGGGATTGCCAAGGTATAAACTTTGTAAATTTTAAGTTCCTGGGACTTTTGCCTTCAAAATTCAGTTCATAGTCACTATACCCTGGTACCTGGAACAGTTTTAACCACTCTTGATGTTGGGAAAGGTCCTGCTGCTTTATGTCTTTGGACTTCACCTCATGTGCAGTTTCCACGTACTTCTGATTCTCATATTTATGAGTGCTAGCATTTCTCCAGCCTTGCCAAAAGGAAATGTTTTCATGTTCTAAATATCCAACTCTTTGTTCTTGTGCTTTGCAGTTTTCTTTCCAATTTTCTAAAAGAATAAGCAGATAATACAGTGGTGAGATGAAACCTGTTAAAAATTTCCAGTACCTTGAGCAATAACCTCCAGAATGATAGGAATATTTGTGTGGGACTAAATGGGAAAGAAGAATCCCGACTTAGGCTTTTCTATAACTGGATATAAAATTTGTTAGTTCAGTATGTATTAAAAGTAACACATTTCATTCTAATTTAATATCATCTGATATTATCACCAACTAATATCTACCAGTTACTGTTAGAAGACAAAAATGTTCACTACCTGATGGAAATAGTTTTAAAGACATATAGTTATTTTACTATAAATAGAGAGCTATTTGAAGAATGTATTTTTCTATTCAGGAAAAATATGGTAGATTGTGCTTTTAAACACGATTTCATTAGCTTTCTACTGTATCTACATCTGTGGGTGCTCCCTTTCCACACTGACTCTAGGTTTGGCTGTATGGTTTACTTTTACCACCAGAATTACTTTTACTAATCTGGTACAATCAGAGACTAGAAAAATATTTGTGCACTGGAGCTTGCCCTCTCTTACTGGTTTATTAGTCTGTGACTAGTATCATATAAAGAAGCTTATGCTGGCCTACTTAAAAAGGGATAAGTGGTTAATACATGTCTACTATCCACACCAAATGCCTCACATAACAGTCAGGCTTACTAGACCATTTCGACCTAATCAAATTACTCAAGATAGAAGATCCACCTAGTCAATTAGAATCATAAAAAGTTTTTCTTAAGTCATCAAGTTCATGGTAATTCATTGTAAAGGCTAACACACACATGGAAATCTTTCTTAAGTGTAATCCAGAAAATAAGTATAATACTCACATACACCTATTAATTACATAGCTCAGGATCTTGGAGAAAGTCTTTCTGTATCTTCTGTTATATGATTTAAGACCCATTTAAAGAATATTTCTTCTGCCTCAACGTAATAGCTAGATAAAGAACTAAATTAGTCCAACAGATCTTGTACCAAATGAAATCGATTTTATCCCCAACATCTGGGATAAATTTACCTATGGACATGACATTTGTGTAGTTCTCCCACATGACTTCTCTGTAGAGCTTTCTTTGAGAAGAATCCAGGAATTTCCATTCATCCCAAGTAAATTCAACAGTCACATCTTCAAAAGTTACTGCCATCTGGTCAAAGGTCAAGTTTTCCAAGAAGAACAACTCTAAATAAAAAGATGGATTAAAAAAATGGCAGACTTTCAGTAGGTAACATGATTCACAAATCAAATAGAAAAAGCAATTCATCAGTAATGAAGAAAAAGAAAGATAAAAGGAGACATAGTCATGATATTATTGAATAGTCATCAGTTATTGAACACCATCACCATCATAAGAAACATACAGCGGAGAATGACATTTTGTCCTTCACGAGTATTTCAAGGTACTCTCCCAGATACCCTATGTTGTAGATACTACTAATGTTGTAGATGCTATTAATCATACTCATTTTATTAATTAGTCAACAATAGATGGAGAGGGTTAAGGGAATGCTTAAAATCACAGGCCTAGAAGGCAGCATTCTCACCAGAACAATTTGTCAACTATAACAATATTGCTAAATGTTCACGATCACGATCATGATCATCCTGTTGTTCGTCGATTGCCTCGAGCAGGCACCAGTAACATCTCCTTCTTCCTAGCCCTGAGATTTTAAAAGAGCCATATTCAATGCTCTTTCAGGGCTAGGAGAATGAGACCTATTATTGTTACTGGTATTTGGCATATTGAGTACGACACGGTAAGTTTGCCAGACTCTACCGTGCGGGCAGGATAGTTTCGGTAACCTGCCAGGTTCTCCAAAGTAAAAACAAGATAATAAGATGCTAAATGTTATTTATATACTATTACTTCATGATAAATTTTAGGAATTTTTAGTTTCTACTATGAAATAATTACACTAACTCCCCCCATACCCAACTCATTCTCACGTAGTTTTAGCACTAATTTTAGTTAAATCTCGGTAGCCTGCCGGACTCTCCAAGAGGGGCGGAGGAATCGAACTCGGGTCGGCCATGTTGGCCGCTTGTAAGGCGAACGCCCTACCGCTGTGCGCACTATTAAAATATACTAGACATAAACAATTTAATTTTTACTGAAATGTTTATTAAAATGTGCATAAATATGATTTAACTGACATGAAATTTTTAAACAATGCTATTCTGAATAGAAGTGAAAATTCAAAACCTATTCTTCCCAAATAACTTCAGAAATACCACTATAGTTTTCACTCTGTCCTTTCTAGTCTTCTTCTCATGCACATATAAAACTTACATACACATACTTGACCAGTGTTTTTTTCCTAACAAAGAGAAGCACTAAGGCTGGAGAGATCGCATAGAGGTTAAAATAATTGCTTCTGGGCTGGAGAGAGAGCACAGCGGGTAGAGCATTTGCCTTGCATGCGGCCAACCCGGGTTCAATTCCCAGCATCCCATATGGTCCCCTAAGCACCGCGAGGAGTAACTCCTGAGTGCAGAGCCAGGAGTTATCCCTGTGCATCGCCGGGTGTGAGCCAAAAAACAAAATAAATAAATAAAAAAAGATAATTGCTTTTGCATATAAGTCATGGTTCCCTGAGCACTTTATGAGTGAGCCCTGAGCAGTCATGAGTTAGCTCTAAAAACCACCAGTTTCCAGGTTTGACCCAAACCCCCTCCCTCCAGGCCCCCCTCCAAAGTCCAGTATTTCTACAGTTTACAATATTTTCCCTTTTATGTACAAGTTCATATCAAAATCAGTCCAGATTTTCTTTTTTGTGGTGGTTTTAAAACGTTTATAAATTATTTGCTACCCTTCACTACTTCAAGAGGTAGAGACTGACTCTCCATTCCCTAAAGATAGGCAGAATTCAGGGACTCCCTTTGGATGAACTGGAGTGTAAAAAAGCAAAAGGGTAAGTAGTAAGTGCAACTTTTGAGAACTTGCTCCTAAAGACACTGCAGCTTCCTTCTTGCTCTTTTTCTTGGATCAATCACATGGTGAGAACACGTAGGTGCCGCTAAGCTATAAGGAACTAAATAAAGCCTTCCCTCTAGGTGAGAAATGAAGCATCTTGGTAGCCACTATGTGAATGAACCATTTTACTAGAGCATCCTCCAGCCCCAGGGAAACCTTCTCATGATTTCCACCCCACTGACACCTTCACCTCATTGTAACCTCAAAAGACTGCGCCTGAATCACATATATATGCTGTTTCTAGATTTCTCTAACTCTTCCAAACTGTGAGATAATAAACATTTGGTACTTTAAGCTGCAAAGATGCACGAAGTCTATAGAGGACAAAACGAATTACATAAAAATATTATTATGACAAGCAAGCCAATTAACAGAAAAAAGGACACTATAAGGAAGTTTTAAGATAGAGGCATGCTGCTTACAGGAAACATACTCCAAATAGTTAGCTATGACAAATTTAAAAATTAAATCCAGGCTAAATTATAATTAAAAAGTCAATATAAATCGAGTAGGTTTTGAAACATTAATATTAGGCAAGGTAAAATCAAAGGAAAAATTATTATGCTAGATTAACCAACTACTTTTAGGAGAAATGAAATGATCCCTATTTATCACAAACCAGAATAAGATTTTGTCACAACTGCTTCAAGTGTTTATTCCATAACAAGTATGGTGAATTTCAAATATTCACAAGAATAAAGAATAAAATATAATTAGGTCTTCTATAATTGTGCCATAATCAAGGTTTCGGCAGTCTCATTTCAATCTTCTGCCTCTCCAATTATTGCCATTATTGTTTTTTTTGTTTGTTTATATTGTTTTGGGGTCGGATCAGCTGGATCTTTGTTCAGGGAACGAGAAGCGGTGCCATGGATCTAACACAGGTATCTTTCTAGTCCCGATTGCTAGGCTAGGGCGTTTTACAGCAAATTCCAAGTGTGAGGTCCTTTTGCTGTTGCTATTATTTGTTGTTGCAGTGTTTGGAGGTTATATCTGGCAGTGCTGTGAGGTGGAGAACAGGCGTGCAGTATGAGAGATCAAACCCAGGGTCTTCCAAAAGCAAAGCACCTGTTTTAGCACTTAAGTCACATCATCATCCCATTAAACAATTTTTATGTAAAAATAATTCAGAAAAACATTTCAACATATATATTTTCATTGATAGGGACCTAAAAAAAGGAATTGCCTACCAAAACTCACTTCAAATTAAATTTTTTCTGATTGCTGTAAAAACATTTCAAATAGTTCATTTGCCTGAATAAAGATCAAAAAAAAAAAAGGTTCACAGCTTCTACCTGGTTATGTAAAAGCCTCCTCCTCTTCTTAAAACAGATTTATATGCTATTGATTTGTTCAAGAAATCTGTGTATCTATTCTCTAAAATAGGGCTTTCTCAGATTTCACTGAGCAACAGAATCACCTGAAAATTTAAGTTTCTTGTGTATATTCATCAAGAGATTTTGATACATTAGTTTGGAGCAGAGCTCATGAATTATTTATTAATAACTTCCCAGGCCAGACTGATAAAGCAGATCCACAGATCCTACTTTGAACAGAATATCCCAAACGAATGACTTGGCTGTTTTCTTACTGCTTCTAACCTGTCAGTTTATGGTTTTTATTCCAGAAGCCTAGGAAGAACAAAAATCAGTTTTTCTGACAGAAATGCATGCTGTATACTTCCTGTTACAGTACTATAGAGATGCTAAACTGGGTAGCAGAGGATTCAAATGCTGTCATCTCAGTCCTTTTACTCTAATATCTTCCATAAGTCGCTCATTTACAGTACAGAGAAAGTTAAACTTTCGCATTTCAGGCACTCAGATTCAATCACCAGCACCACCTGGTTCCCCAAGTATTGCCAGGTGTGACTCTTCAGCACAGAGCCAAAGGTAACCCCGAATACCTACCTACCATCAAGCTACAGCAGTAAAATTTCAAAATAAAAACCAGTACAACAGAATACAGAACTCGGTGACTAATAAATGTTGTTTTAGATATTTAAAATATAAAAATATATGAGCAATAAATATGATATTAAGCAGCAAAGAGACAGTACTTGGTAAATGGCAATAGGCAATGGAAATCTGCTAGATGGTGCTGTAAAAAAGAACTGAATTCCAACTTAATATCATACACAATGGAACAACTAGCTAGTTAAACATATTAAAGGGAAAGTTGAAAAGAAAATCCAGTGCAGCAGAGTTGAATATTCTAACATCGACTCTCAAGTATAGGATCACTCAATCTGATAAAGGAGCAAGAAATGTGAAGTGGAACAAGGAAAATCTCTTCAACAAGTGGTGCCAGGAAAAAGTGGACAACTACATGCAAAAAGATGAACTCAGACATCTGCCCAACGCCAAGCACGAAGGTCAGATCAAAATGGATTAAAGGCCTCAATATCAGACCTGAATCCATGAAGTACACAGAAGAAAATGTAGGCAGAACTCTCCATGATATTGAAGCTGAGGGCATCTTCAAGGGTGAAACACCACTAAACAAGCAAGTGGAAACAAAGATAAACAAGTGGGACTACAATAAATTAAGAAGATTTTGTACCTCAAAAAGAAACGGTGACCAAAATACAGAGAGAGCCCACGTAATGGGAAAAATTATTTAGTCAATATTCATCAGATTGGGGCTTACTATCCAGGATACACATTTTCTGGTAGAACTGTACAAGAAAAAAAACCTCCAATCCCATCAAAAAATGGGGAAAAGAAATGAACAGAAACTTCCTCAAAAAAGAAATACAAATGGCAAAAGGCACATGAAAATATGCTCCACATTGCTAATCATAAAGGAGATGCAAATTAAAATAACAATGAAGTATCATCTTACACCACAGAGACTGGCACATATCAAAAACAAGAACAAGTAGTTCCCTGGGTGCTGTGCTGGGATTGAAAGGGACTCGCATTCATTGTTGGTGGGAATGCTGACTGATTCAGCCTTTTTGGAAAGCAATATGGACATTCCTCCAAAAACCAGAAATTGAGCTCCCATATAACCCAGCAATGCCACTTCTAGGAATATATCCCGGGATGCAAAAAAAAAAAAGCATAGCAGAAATGACATCTGCACTTGTATGTTTATTGCAGCTCTATTTACAATCGCCAAACAGACAACTTTTTAAAGAAACTTTGGTACATCTACACAAGGTAATACTATGCAGAAAAGATGAAGTAATGGAATTTGCTTATAAGAGGATGGACATATAGAGTATCATGCTAAGTGAAATTAGTCGGAAAGAGAGAAACAGACATAGAATGCCTGTACTCATTTGTGGAATATAAAATAATGAGACTAACAACCAAGGACAGTTGAGACAAGGGCCAGAAGAACTGCTCCGTGGTTTGGAAGATGGCCTCACATGCTGGGGGCGAAAGGCAGTTGGGATGGAGAAGGGACCACTAAGTCAATGAAGGGTGGAGGGATGGCTTGCGATGAGAGATGTGTGCTTAAAGTAGACTAAGAACCAAACATGATGGCCTTTCAGTATCTGTATTGCAAACCTAATGCCCAAAAGTAAAGTAAGAAGGAAGGGAGGGAGGGGGTAGGATAGGGTGGGGGCTGGCAGGAGGTATACTGGAAACATTGGTGGTGAAAAACTGTGCACTGGTGGAGGGATGGGGTTTCGATCATTGTAGACTGAAAATCATGAAAGCTTTGTAACTATCTCATGGTGGTTCAATTAGAAAAAAAAAATTTTAAAGAATACATAATTTATGGGCTGGAGCAATAGCACAGCAGGTAGGGCGTTTGCCTTGAAAGCAGCCAACATCAGCGACCCAAGTTTGATTCCTCTGCCCCTCTCGGAGAGCCCGGCAAGCTACCGAGAATATCTCGCCCGCATGGCAAAGCCTGGCAAGCTACCCATGACATATTCGATATGCCAAACACAGTAACAAGTCTCAAAATGGAGATGTTACTGGGCCTGCTAGAGCAAATCTATGAACAACGGGAGGACAGTGACAGTCACATAATTTATAAAATACCATTAACACTTTCACATGGCCTTATATTAACATTCATATTTATCCACTACAACTAACTAGCTCAGTTTATTTGTTCCTGAGACTAGATGATGGACTTCCTGTCTGGAATGTTATCTTCAGATTCATAATGGTTATTCAAATCTCAGTTCCTGTTGTTTAAATGACACTCATTTTGGCACTGTTTCATGCATCACAACTTTAGCAAATATTAAATTCATATGATTTATTTCCCCAGTGTTAGGGAAAATATTGTTACGTTTATGTGAAAACACCATGAATAGTTTGATTTACTTGGTAAGCGTAACAATATTCCTGTTTAGACACCCAAAAAATGAGTAAATGGTAGAAAGAAAGGCCTTTTGTACAGGAGGCATAGAGATTCCTCTCCAAGCAAGAGACACTTTCAGTCAGACTTGGTCCAGCCATCTCCAAAGGCCACTCCTTATTCCCACCAGCCATGGAGTATTTTAGGGAATTCTGTAAATGAGAAAGGACAGTCCTGCTTACCTGAGATCAGACTTTGAGGAAAATAATGAACATCCCTGCCTCTGGTGTACTGCTGTTTTGGAGAAAGGTGGGGTACTGAGAAGGAAGAGAAGAGAGGAAAGAAAGGTTTAAGGAGCTGAGTGATAACTAGTAGGGCGATTGCCTTGCATCAGACCCACAGCTTTCAATTCCCAGCACCCCATAAGGTGACCCATTGACCCAAGAGTGATCCAACCTGAGTGAAGAGGCAGGTGTAAGCCCTGAATAAAGCCAGGTGTAGCCCCAAAACAACAATTTTAAAAAGGGAAAGGAAAAGTGTAATAGGCTAGGCAAAACTTGACATTCCCAAACTCACCACAAGTCCCACACATTGAGTGTAACCTCCAAAACTTCCTACAAAGGAGTAATTAAAAGCCCCCCCCACAAAAATTTTTTTTGTTCCTTTTTTCAAGCACCAGAAAAGTTAAGAGAACTGGCAACCGAGATATTACTTCTACAGGTCTAATTGAATAGCCAAAGGTACAATTTTACTTTGGGCATCAAAATACAGAATTTTATCTACAATTTGATTCATCAAGTGAACTAGATGCTATTTAATTCAGCCTCTACGAGCTGTCTTTAGGAGGCAGTTGCCTTGTTTCCTACTAATGAGAACAATTTTTAGGAAGAGAAAAAAAGCAGAAAGCCTTCAATAGTTAAAATTCTTAAAGTATACTTATAATTTTAAACATTACTTAAGTCCAAAAATAATTCCATTGCCCTCCCCTACTTGTTAAAACAGAAACTGGCTATCTACAATGCACTGAAGTGCCTGAAGATTTTAAGAGAAGGATCCCAAGATCTCCAAGCACCTAGTCAAAGTCTCAAGTCTGTCACCAATCACCGGTAGAACACTGAAAATGCCCAAACTTCTGGCATCTCAGGGCCTCATTTTGGTGACCTGTAAAAAATGGGGGCATAATCCTCTGCCACCCAGGTAGTCCTCCCTTATTAATCTGGGGAGGTGGGGATGATAAACATGTAATCGCCGGCAATAAAAATAAGTCCCTCTTGGGTGATCCAATACAGTACAGGTTTGGACCCCCCCCCCCCGCCCCTCCAATAAAAACAAAAACAAAAACGTCAAGAGCTTAAGGCTTAAGACCGGCGGGGGTGGGGCGGGGGGTGGGGGAGCGGATGCAGATTTACAGCTGCCACCACGCGGGCGGGCGGACTTTGCTCATTTAGGATTTAGGGCACAGCCTCTGATCCTGCACCAAAGACAAGAGGCCTCTGCTCCTCCGAATCCGAGTACTCGGTCCGAGGACACGAGCTGCGTCTGTCCTCCTCCCCCTCCCCCTTCTGGGTCGAAACGAGGGGAGGCCGTTTCGAGGACCGACCTCCACGGGAGTCGCCAGGATTTCTACGCTGCAGCCTCTTCCCAGCCCCCAGACTCCTCCTCTCCAGTCACTCTTTGCTTTCCCCTTCCTCGTCCGCTCCGGGGTTGAAACCCCTAAATGTCCAGTCAACTTACAGAGTCTCCGAGGCGCAGATGGCTTCCAGCCAAGACACTGGGTCTGCACAAACAATAGCTGCAGCCTGGCTGGACCCCGGCGGAAGCCCTGGGCCTAGGAGTAGACACTCGGAGCGTTGTCATGGAGACGGAAAGAGGCGGGGCGGGGGGAAATCGAGGCTCCTTATTGGCCAGGAGGATATCCCGGCGCCCCGGAGCGCTCGGCCGCCCACGTGCGGGGGGAGGGGAGCGCACTCGGGTTTCCAAGGCCGAGGTAAAGGTCCAGTACCTTTCTGGATGCTTTCCGAACCCCTGGCTGTAAAAGCGACAGGCTTGCAGGATTGTAGAACCCACACAGCCCGCTACTGCTGGATTGGTCGTCTTGGGTGGGGAGGGGTGATTTCGCGCTGGGCGACCTGTGTCCCTTCGTCGCATAGACACCTCCGCTAGCTTTGCCATTACCACCAGACCTCAACTCCAGGATGGAGTAGCCACGATAAGGGTTTTTCAAATTGCTGTTGGGGTTGGGAGAGACCTTCTTCGCTCCCGCCCACACGCTCGGTAATCAGCTTGGGCAAGTCCATCCCCGTTTCCCCTCCAAATTCTAGGCAAGCCCTAGAGACTCCCTGAAGCTCAAGGTGGATGGGTCAGAGTAGGAGAATAAAGAACTAATATTGCTCGCTCACTTGCTCGCTACCCCCCCCACCCCCACCCCCCGTATTCAATCTATCTCCAGCACCCTAGTTCCCGAGCACCACCAGGAGTTAATCCTTGAGCATCGCCGGCTGTGGCCCAACATCTCCTACCCCCAAATCTGACTGTGTTATATTAGGAAATTTGTTTTCATTCCTTAAGCCCTTTCACTTAAACCTAAACTGGATTGTAGCATACAGCATTTTATTAGGAAAAGAATCTGTTTAGGCCATCCCTAAAAGCAAGGGATTTACTGAACCTCACTACATCATTTACCAGGTATAGTTGAGGTAGACACACTGGTAATGGGTGTGGTATTGGAATTATGTGCATGAGAAACCATTATTAACCAGAATTATAATCATTATCCAGTGTATTATAACCAGTGCTATAAATTAGAGTCAGAATCAATTTTTAAAAAATAACTGAAGAGGATTCAGCTGCAAGGGAAAGAATACTGAGTAAAAGCATATAATGTTTCTATAAATATAATTTTTAGAAGGATAAATGACATATATAGAAAAATGCACTAACTATAATACAGACTTTTTGAAATCAAGAAACATGTGCTTGTGCTATTAGATATAATATAGATTTGATATATTAAAATATATAAAAATATAGATATATCCTCCTAGTTAAGCAATAAGAAAATTTGGTCACCTTTGAGACTCAGAAGTTAACCTAAGTTGCCTCTAACCACAAGTCTTCAGGTAAAGAAAGGTTAAAAACCACAGATCTACAATAGTCATTATAACTCTGGGTTCTAGTACCAATATGCAGATATATACTGGTACACAAAGATAAATAAGTTGAAGGATGCTGATTTAAATACTCTAAGTAGAGATTTTCAAACGTTTTAGACCCAAGTCTCAACACCTGTTTGAGCACTGATCCACAGACCAGCAGTTATAACCACTGCTGCAGGGTTTCAACCCATTAAACCTTCAGACCAGCAGCTGAAAATTACTGCTCTAAAGCACAAAAGGAAAAAAGATACAGGTGAAAATCGTGAATAAAAACCAGGTAATAGCTCATAGAGCTACAAGATCTAATTTGAATGTTCAAAAGTTCCAGGAGAAAGAGGAGTGTATAAAAGTGAAGAAATAAAATAATAATTAAATTTTTTTATCTGGGATGATAAAGATCTTAAGATCTAAATCTGCAAGTCTAAAGTATAAGATATTTCAGTCTAGATCAGTGAATACACTGTGAATATGCATGTATAATTACTACATGTTAAGAAATCATAAACTTTCAGGCAGATATGGTAAGCCACTTCAAAAAAGACATTAGACTTTTTATTTGTAATATTAAAAACTAGAAAAATGTAACTGGGAAAATGAAATATCTCAGAGGGCTGGAGCAAATGCCTTATATCCTCCATGTACTAAGTTTGATCCCTAGGCACGTCAGGCAGGCCTCCCCAGCTACCACCTGAAGGCCCCCAAGCACAGCTGTCTGTGGTTCTAGTGACTTCTGAGTACCTCTAGGGAGATTTTAGTGGACTGCAGTGCTACGGGGTCTGAGCAACACTGCCCTATTGGTCCAAATGCTGAAATATCTGACCTTATTGGATGAGTATTTCTGGGGTGATCCCCAGGCCATTAAGGATTTCTTGGGAGCCAGCCACCCCCCTAAAAAAGGAAAGAAAATGGTTACATAGAAATTACTGATTAGTAAAATGAAGGAGTGTTCAGCATTCAAATCATCATCCATTCCAGTGAAATGACTTTTTACAAGATTTCAGAGTCTTTACAATTCAGGTCTTCCCACACTAAAGAAATAATAAACTAAACAAAGAATATATAAGCTAAAACAGAGATAGTGAGGTAAAATTTGGAAAAGGAAACAGGATGTCATTTGAAGTAAAATACCTAATGTAAGATTAAAAAGCAATAAATTATCAGTTACGTTAAAGATTAAAGGACTGAATTTTCCTATGTAGAAGGTAGGAATATTGGACTGAATCAAGAAACGAATTCAGCTATATGATTTATACAAGAGATATCTGAGTTTGGTCAAAAAAGGTACCAGACCAAATAAATAATTATAATAATACAAAAAACTAACAAAGTAATTTTAACAATCAAAGATAGTCTGTGAGAATATGCAATTTGGTGTAAGAATTACAAGAAACAAAAAATAAGGTCATACAGAAATTGAATAGCTAATTTAAATCATAAGGATATATAGAAATGGATATATAGAAATAGTCGTTGATGAGAACGTACTTTCATTTTCCACAGAGAACTACAAAAACTAATTATGAGAGCTAGCACCCTCATCTCAGCTGGTAAGTTTTTAGTTCCTCTAGCAAGCAAAGAGAATCTCTTCACCCACAGCTGTCTTCGCAAGGTGTGTATACACTTCCCTGCATTACTGCATTTTTTGGCTTATCTCTTTTTACTAAGGATGAAGTGTCACTATTCCTGTCCACATGTAGACCCAACTCCAGAAATTCACTCTCCTTGTGACATTTGTGTGTTTGTGTGTGCTTACTGGGTATTTTCTCTTTATCAACAATCAAGTATGCTCTTATTTTTCCCTCCTAACTTTTGAACAGAATTTCTTGAAAAAAGTTTATCTTTAAATTTTTCTCCAACCAATCTATCTTGAGCCTAGTTCCATGAGATTTTTCACCTCACCTTTAATCTGAAATTGCTCTTCTTCAAATCACTAAAAAGAAAAGAGAAGCCTGTAGTAGGTGCTCATTAACTATGTAGATTAAGGAATTCGTGAATAAAAGGATGCTACTTAATTTGGGACCCAGCAATCAGGGTAAAATCTTTTTTGATGCTAGAGCTCAGCTCCCTGCTACCTGGCAAGTTATCACTTATCTGGAAAGGGGGTGAGGGGTGGGGACTCTGTAACCCCCAGGTGTGCCGGATA